CATCTGGAAACCGAATCTAACTACGCTACTACGCTAGTGGTAGTCATCTTGAATTTTTATCCTTTCTTATTCTATTATATTTAATGATTTATTCTCTTCCGGGAGAAAGTACAACCAGGCGAATTGGTGCCTTACGCCAAAGTGGCAAAGAGTCAAATAAGATGATATAGGCTCTAATAACGATCTAGATATGATACCTGGCATAAGTCGTTCATTTAGCAGCAGATGTCTCCCGCAGACATAGTGATAAAGAATAAACACAATCGCTAAGCCGAAGCCTCTCAAACCCCCCCGAAGCGCAATACCGCCATCACCAGATATTCGAAAATCCTATTCGGATTGACAGTGCGGTGATTACTAAGCCGTAGATGTCCTCTCAATGAGAATCTGACATTCCTTTCATGGTCGCACAGGTATACCTACCAAGTGATAGCTCATGGATCCTCAAAGCGCGTATTCCTGGAAACAGACCCAGGCTCTTGGCCGAAGAGCCAGCCAGCTTCTCGGCAGTACCTTGCTTCCCGGCCGTAGGCTCCAACTTCGCTACTCCAACAAATGATTGATGCATCGACAGTATCTGCAATTACACCTTCAATTGCTCCCAGCACACTCCAACCGATCGTCCCAGCAATGATCCCGACCATGTAGGCATACATGCTTCCGCGGATCGAACCGTTGGTACCCATCACACTTAGGCTCCGAGCAGTGCTCACCCAGCCACCAAACCCAAGCGCAAGAGACATCATGAGACGGGCCGCATGCAGGATGAGCTTGGAAAGTCGATAAGGGAGAAGAGTTGCAGAATGCCCACGAGACCAAGAGAACGACCGTGGGTGTAGAGAAGTCGTCGCTATGGAGGGCGTCAGGTTTGTCATCTGCACCAGACCACGAGCGGACACTGCAAGCGGCTGGGAATGAATGGACGCATATGTGAGGGTTAGAGGGTCCGTGAGGGCAGTTATAGGAGTTGGGACAAAGGAATAGGCGCAGAAACTCAAAAGTGACGCGATACGACCGGGAAGCAACAAAAGCGGGACGCGGATCATTAGAGCCAGGAGGCTCGATAGGCAAATTGTACCAAAAAGGGTTGTAGCGGAGTGCAGAGTTGCGGCTTGGACTATTTGCCTGGAGGTCGGCGCTGGCGTCGTAAAGCGATGAAAATACCATTGACTCACCGCGGCAGCTGTGACTGTACGTCGAATACCAGCGATGACTCCCAGTGACCATGCGTAAACGAGCACATAGTAGATTCCTAAGCACCAGCTGCTTGAATCGACAACAAAAAGGCTGGACCGAGAAATATGACCTTCCAAAAACACTCGCGTAAACATGAGCATCCATAACCAGGTCCATAAGACAATGAGAATGAGGGCACCGAGCCCCAAAGCTAGAAGCTCTGGATTCACGGCGAGGATGCGGCATGCAAATTCGAGTATGTCGACGGCCCTTCCTATAGCGCGGCGGCCTCGAACGACGTTGTAAATCCATGCGCTAGCCAAAATAAAGGGAATAATAGACCCGCATCTCATGACTTTGTCCTGAACACTTGATCCGTGCCAGACACCCCCAAAGCTCGAGATAAAGGGGTAGAGAAAGAAGGAATACAGTATTATGGGAACGGCGACGAGAATAGCGTAAACCAATGGACGTACATAGGAGCGTAATAGTGCCAGCCAAAGCAGAGATATAGATATCGACGCGATGGTATAGGTACCCAGCAGGTAAAATGAACTGTGGATGGTCAAGTAGACAGTGTCACCCCATTTCGACTTGTCACCGGAAGGAGGTGAAGTGTGAAGGTAAATAAGAAATGACGTAGCGAAGAGAGAGGCCACAGATATTAGAAACAAGTGACCCCAAAAGCCATCATGAGCTGGAGAGCTAGCGCCTACCGGTGGGGTCGACGTTCGATATGGTCGTGACGTGCCTGGCGGTTGGGATGTTTCTGGCACTACTGCGTTATCTGAATCTATAGGAAGGAGAACTGAGTCTAGTCCGAGATTGCCCGTTCGTGACTGTGGCTGCTCTCGAAACCGTTGAACGGAAGGCGGTTTATCATCACCAAATCCGGGAGAGTCAGCCCGGTCGCGGCCAACATCGGATGCCAGTGTATCTTCCAGGTGAACGTCAACTAATTTCCCCCTGAGCCTGCTTCTACTTCGCTCTGTATGAATAGACTCCTCCGTTCCGTTTGGCTCCCCGTCGTACTCAACACGCGAATCTTGCGCTCTGTCACTAGTTTCGGCGTCGCGCCAGGAGCTCCAAATGCCCTTCCCCCTAGTATAAGGGGGCTGTTGTTCCTTCGAGTTGGCAGATTCGTTATCGTCGCCAATTTCTGAAGACTCCCTAAGGTAGCTGCTCCCAAATTGGCGCCGAGATTTTTGTAAGGCATAGAAGTCAGCAATCTCTCGCTCATGCTCAACCTCATCATCCTCCTCTCGAAATTCATCAGTAGCGCTGTAGAAGAGAGGCGCAGGTTGAGACACAACCCTTGAACCAAACGGGAAGCCTGATAGTTGAGAACCGGCAGGTTGGTATGGGTCGGCCGCATTCCTGTGGAAGAAAGAGCGCGAAGAGGGCAAAAGAGAATTTCGAGGTTGTTGCAAGAGACGTTCATGCCCCTTTCTTCGGGGGTCTTCTGGATGGTTCACGACCCGTGACTGGGACTGTGCGAGAAAACGGGAGGCATCTGGGCAGGGAGTGAGCGATGAGGAGCACGGTATATGATGTATAAGAGACGGAATAGTAGAGGGTATTCATACATTCGGAGAACATGTCGGACCTGGTTCTCTATCTTTGTTTTCGTCTTCTTGACACCTTGACCCTTAACCAATGAGCCGCTAAACCTTCTTATATTTAAATCACTGATTGTCCAGATTATAGCAGACGAAGCGGTGTGAGCGGTATGAACCCGATGCAGTTGAAATTCAGTGGGAATCGAAGGACTACATAGCAAAGAAGCCAGATGGGACAGGGCTATCCATCAAAAAGAAAAGATATGACGGATTGGGGTATAAACTGTAGAAAGAGTTCAGACAGGCAGAAAGCGTATGAAGGTAGCAGTAGTCTTCCCTTGCGATCAGTAGGTGAGGTTGCAAGCGTCATCAGGCAAGGTCATGGTGATAGATGACTCAGCATTCATGCCATTCGTCTGATCGGTTTAACTTGCTTGGACTGCAGAATGCGCCCAGTAAGTACAAATGTTCTCGGTGTGCGGAGCAGGAAACTGGAGCACTTCAGACCATAGCGGAAAGAAAGAAAAAAAAAAACAAGGGGGTTGCGGTGGAATTTTCCTTGCAGTCAATATATGTGAGGCTTGAACAAGGTAGGATAACAGTAGTTTGGGGAACTACTACTAGAGGGGACTAAACTATCGCAGCTCCTCCCGTACTTAACCAGTGGATAACTAGTCAGAAAGACCATCATTACATAACAGCTACTTGCACTGTACCCAGCATTCCTCGGTAGCTCCACTATAGCTTGGTTGGTCATCTACTGGCTACTCCAGACTGGTTATCGATTCTGTCCTACTACTTATCTTATCCCGCACTTTCCTAGTAGGTTGGAATCCAGCGTTATACCCGACTGAGTTTAGTAAGGCTGAACGTAAAAAGAGAATCCCTTCCCGTGCTGAGGACGAAGAAGTTCACAGAGTACTTAGCATCATTAATTATCATACGATTATCTCCCCATAGGCCGACTGACACCAGGTTGAGCCAACCTTTCCATTTCCCAAGGCGAGTATCCGTTTTATTTGGTCGCCATCTTCCATCAGTTGATTTTTTGGGAGCATGACTCCTACAGACCTTTAAAGTCCACGGGCATTGATCGATCGAAAAAAAAAAAATTATTCACCTAAAGTCTCGAGTGCCGGCATAAGCGACATTCCTCTGCTGTATCCATGTCACAGCCATGGGATTATATTGCTAAACTTGTTTGCATCGGGGACTCGGGAACTGGGAAGTCTAGTGTGGGTACACTCACGCTTGACAGACCATCATACCGCTGACACACGGCCGCGACTTTCTAGTTGACGATCCGACTCTGCGAAGGGCGCTTTTCGTCCTCCCATGATGTTACAATCGGTGTCGAGTTCGGTTCACGGATTGTTCCGGTGGGCCCGCCGGCTTCAAAGGCCTTGGGAGGCGAGTTCGACGATTCTATCCGCAATCGTGCCCCTTCACTCACATCTTCGCCCTCATTGCCCGCTACGGCTACAGCCAGCGAATCAGTCGCTTCTGGACTGCCCAGTCCTCCACGTAGGGTACAGGAGCTCCAGAAAAGAATGAAGTTGTCGCTATGGGACACCGCTGGCCAAGAAACGTACAAATCTATTACCCGCTCTTATTTCCGTGGTGCTTCGGGTGCCCTACTGGTCTTCGATATCACTAGACCTTCTACATTTGTATCGTGCACACAGTGGCTCCATGATCTGCGGCAAATTGCGGAAGATGGCATTGTAATTGTTCTGGTCGGCAACAAGAGCGATCTTGCCGCTGATGAGTCGAGATCGCATCAGACAGTCACTAGGCAAGAAGCGGAGGAGTGGTGCCGTTTGAATAACATTACACGGTATGTTGAGACAAGCGCGAAATCCGGAGAGAACGTGGAGCGTGCGTTTCTTGAGGTAGCCGAGATGATATACCGCAACATCGAAGCTGGCAAATATGACCTCTACGACCGTCGAAGTGGTGTGAAGGGCTATGGTGCTACTGGTGGATCAAACTCAGGTATCCCAAATACTGTCACTTTAGGCTTGGATGATGCCATGCGCAAGGGTGGAAGTGGCCTGTCAGGAGGCTGTTGTTGATGGATACAGGATATTATACCTTATATCGAGCTTGTTGTTCAAAGTTGTCACGGGACTATATCTTGTGCAAACATGTAATGGTCCTTTATAGTCGCCCTTGGAGAAGTATGGTTGTGTAGGAATATGGAATAGGCTCAGATTTCGCCCAGTAATCTCTGTGACCTTGGTTTATATACATCTCGAGCCAATGAGGATCGAGGTAATGGGTACAGAAGAGCGAAGCAATATACATTGACTGCTACAAAATAACAGAGGCGCGGGGCGCATATACCAAAACCTGAAACACAGCCAATCTAAATATTTTACAGCTGACTAGAGTAGATAGTCCACGAGCCAACAATAGTAGTGACAAGTATGGTATTGCATATGAGGTACAGCGATGACGAGAAGCGGTATATGTAAACAGGTGTTGACGATAAGGGTGGCGATTACGGTGGTGGTGATGAGATGGAACGGCTCAATTGGCAATCCGCCAGCCACTGAACCAGTTCAAATGAGACCACTGCTGGCTGGGGCCTTCAATACCAAACACAATAGCCCGGAAGTATGCGAACAAGCCAACGATCGCGCAGTAAAGCAAGGTATAGATCGCCCAACGTAGCTTGTTGCTCATCTGCTGTGTGAACCAGTCAACGCAGAATCCGAATGTGAGTATGGCATAGTAGAGTGCCGGATAGTAATGGTGGACGTAAGTCACTCGTGCCATGACCGCAAAGGGCAAATAATGCAACACCCACCCAATGACTGGGTATAGACCGGAATAGTGGATGTGGTCAATATCCGCTTGGGTAAGTTCAGTATATCCTCGCTGCCAACGCACGAGATACCAAAGAACCAGAAGGGCAAATATTCCAAGACTTAAAGTACTCCCCCAATATACGAAGGGGTTTCCGAGAAGGTAGTACTTGATGGTGTTGTCATCCCAGGAGCACATACGAAGGCCCACATTGAGTATGGGCCATTGCCAGAACTTAGAGGCGAGGTCATCTTGCTTGTCCGGATCAGGGACAAGAGCATTGTTGGACGTCATCATAGCGACATTCAGATGGATAAAATCCTTCCAGAACGGAGACTTGTAAGATCCGGGATCACCTGGTGGAACTGGGTAACAAAATCAATATCCGATTGCCACAATCTGGAAGGAATAGACCAGAAATAGGGGTAAACTTACGCCTCTCGTTGTAGTGTGACTCGACATTCCAATGAGTATAGACATCACTGGGCTTATTCTCCTTCACGCATGTGGTCTCAATCTGTTTGAAGCCCCATTGGGGCAGGTTTACATTTCCTGCACGCAAGTAACAGCCCAGGACAGGATGTTTCAGGCGAAATGCCGTAGTAAGAGTTCGAATCCTGCTCCTGTCCCTGGATGCAACATCATCAACGACTTCAACCGCCCAATGATCTTTGTCATCGCCAATGGTAATGTTGCCATAACAGGAGACTTCAAATTGGCTCTTAGTAACCGGTGCAGATATAGCATGCGAATGTAGATTCCGACCCGTCTGCCCATGGATTAGACGGATGATGTCTCCGTCACCAACGAATCTCAAGGAGCCCTCGGGGTCATAGTCCGGCTCATACCTATTGGGGTAGATGAACCAGTCGTTGTTGGAGTCCTTGTGATGATAGCACGTCACCTGCTGTTGACTTGACCCTTCAGGATACGTTTGGATATGCGAATGGAGAAGTCCACCACCATACCCCATGTTTTTCAGTGTCACCCTCGATCCCAGTGCTATCTCAAGAGGACTATCCTTCCCGACCTCGGTGCCCTTCAAGTTTGCCTGGAAAAGTGAGCTCATCTGGGCATCTCCTGGACCACTATTCTCGAGAACCCAGAAATGAACATAGAAAGACAGAATGTAGACAATGCAGGGCACGATAATGAGGCCCACTATGCGAGCAACTAGATGTTTCGCTACCACAACCTGCCGAGCATTAACCACCGAGCTGAAGTCGTTTACATTCCAGTAAGTCACTTACCTCAGGCATTTTAAGGTCGCCGAACTTGTTCCATAGATCTTCAACTGTATAAAGGCCCACAATAGCGGTGCAGAAGAAACCGACCCATTTGACACTGCAGACACAGCCAATGCTCACGCCGGTGAGAAAGAGCCACGCAAACCATTCTGCCGAAAAACTAGCTTTCTGCAGTCGATGGAATTTGGCCCAACATAATGTGGTTGTAAACGTGAAGCAAAGTAGCATGGAATCAAGGAGGATGAATCTCGAGATAGTGGCATACGAGTTTTCGAATAGCACCATCAGACTGATAAGCCAGACAGTAGCCTTGCGAAAACCCAGCTCCCGTGCGGTATAGTAAGCAAGCGGGACACATACCGCGCCGAAAGCCGCATTGAAAATACGCATGAACGTATAGTTGACGTCTTCGGGATACTTCTCACCGGATTTGAATTCGAACGAGCCATTATAACCAGCAAGAAATCCCGACAAGCCAACTAGCATCTTCCCCAGAGGCGGGTGTACATCAAAATAAAATTCGCGCTTCAGATAGTGTGAGCCAAATTTTCCGAAGCTGCATATTATTATCAGGACAAGACGTTAGCACTCTATACTGGCAAAAGAAAAGATTAAGATAGAAAGGTTTTTGGTCTTACTGTGCCTCATCCCATGTCACGATATCTGAACGACCAATTTGATACATTCGAGTGAAAATTGCCAGAGCAGTCAGAAAGAGAGGCGCAAATATAGGCTCCCAGCTGGCCACCGCAGAACGAAACGAGGAGGGCTAAGACACGCGTCAATATTATCGGCTATCAGGTGCAGTAAAGCTTTATGAAGCTTCGGTCTAAGGCGAGCATCATACCTCTTGCTTCGATTTCTTGGCATCATATGCATCATGATCAGGAGCACGGCTGGGCTCCTGCGTAAGAGGGGCAGTTCTGCGCCGCACTTCAGAGGAGAGATCAACCCCAGAGCTTGACGCCTGGTTTACTCCCGCCATAGTTGCGGTATAATGGGCAGCTAAACAAATGCGGGGACAGGGAGTGGCGAAAGAGAAAGCAAGTAGAGAGTATCAGACTGCCACAGGAAGCTGGTTGAATGTAGAGCAGCTCGCTGGGATTGACTTCAGGTGTGAGTTGCAAACATTTCTTATGAGAAAATCACAATGATTGGTCTAGCGTGCAGTACTCCAGCTTTTGTTGAGAGTCTGGAGAGAGGAAAGAAGAAAAAAGAGAGGGGCCGATGAGAAGGTACCTTGAGAACACAAGGCAAGAGTATGGAGGGGAAATCAGGATAGATTGAGCAGACACCGCTTAACCAGGGTCAAATGGGTAAAGTAAGGTAAAGAATGGAAGGTTTGTTAAATTGATAAAGGCAATGTGAAATTTTGAGGCAATGAAAAGGAAGAATAGAAAGATCGGAAGCAAAAGAAAAGGGGTCGAATGTTGAGGGTGGGAAAGAAAGTCAGCCTCTCGAAGGGTTCCCTACTCAGAATGTAAGACGGAGTGGAAGCGCAAATGGCGAGTTGGCCTGGAGATAACACGGAAAGCTCGGGCGCGTGGCCTGAAAGCTCCGTTCCGCCTGGGCCACTTCTGAAACCTCGACTGCATCCTCCGTCTTGTTCGTCGGCAATGACGGCGAATTACTGAGAGAGGTATAGCGTGTCTAATGGGGGCAGGCATGTATGTCACTGCCATTTGTGGCATCATATATGTGTGTGACCTCTACAATGGAAATTGTACTGACTGTTCAAAGGGTGGTCAACCTTCCCATCCTTGGACAGAAATTTGGTCCCAGATGCTTCGAAGTGGCCTTACTGTTCAACTGGTTCTCCAATTTTCCCCATACTTAACTAGCCGGGCTTGATTACTGTCATGATTCATCACCGTCGTGCCTCACTGTCGCGGATTAAAGATATTAAAGAAATGCGACAAAAGAAAAAAAAAAAAAAAAAAAGAGAGAGAGAGAGATTGCCGTGGGTTGGCGATTCCAGCTTTTGCTGCTCTCCTCTAATTCAAACTGAACTGAGTATCACCAGTAGAACAGGCATCTGACAGTCTATTAACGAAAAGTACTTATCAGGCAGGTACCATGGAGTCGATGAAGTTTGCCTTTTACGGTATTTTGCGAAAGTTCACGGAGACGAAAGCCAATCTGTCGAATCGAATGCAGTTATGCAACGCACAAGTTATGAATGGGAACATTTTGGTTGAGTCAGCGTATCCTACCTCACCGGCTGTTGGTTAATTAGACATTCCATGTTCGAATGTAAAGGTTCTCCACCTCTATTCAGGGAGGAAGATGACGGCGGTGTGATCTGCCTGCTGATTTAGCTTCAGGGCCTGAGGAGCCACAGACAATTCGTAAATGGTTCGAGGTATAGATTGATAATGAATGAATCTGCGCTGGCTGTGTGTACGCAACGAGGGTCGTAAACCCGAACCTAGACGAATAACGTCTACGCTATCACTATGACAGGCAGGGTGCTTTATTTGACATAGGGACACAAGTGCGTGCCATGGTAAGCTTCCCAAGCTTCTCATGTATAAAGGTCGGCATAAGACGTACGAAATGATTTTATTTTTCTTTTTCGATAACCTCGTTGGCACTATGATATACAAGGGGATCAGAGAATATTCTTCTCTAATCATTTATTACCACCCTTCCACATCGATGGATTGTGGCAGCATATTATGCAAGTCAGAGAAATACCTCTGAGCCTGAAAGGCCCTTGATAACACTGAGTCTTCGAGATGAAAGTTGCACGCGGATTCTCATTTCTGAAGTCACGGAGTAGGATATGGCGCGATATGTGCCTCACGCTTCGAACATTTCACAAACTGTCATGTTTTAAAACCTATTCTGGGGCATGGTATACGTCTCGGTATATATTTACATGCATACATGTAGATGATGTCAGAAAGAGAAAACGGTGCAGTAAATCGAAATAGAGCCTCGACAAGATCAGTATATGCGAGACCAGGGTCGAGAATATCCTAGTGTCAGTCCACGAGAAAAGGAAAAGAATACAATTAAGTCGGTGTACATAGGGTTGAAAAGAGAAAACAAGAGTGAAAGAGGTAGGTACAGCAACAGGATGTTTATATGTCTGTATCTGTTACATGAGACTGGACCATACGCGGTGGCCCTACTCATTCTCCTCCTGCCCAAGACGTCTATACTGACCGGCCTGTCCTGTTGATTCCGATCCTTTGTGTCGGGTAATCATATTCGAAATCCAGCCTCCAAAGCCCTCTGGTCGACTACTAGTGTCTTCCCGGAAGCCTGTCCTGCCAGGCTTGCTACCGGTACTAGAACTTACATTCGGTGGGTCAATGTCCAAGCCAGGAATGGCGCTGTCTGCCCCCAGACGGCCATACTGGCGTCTGATGTCAAGCGAAGGTACAGGAGAGCCTGCACTCATGAGAGAGCCACGTTCTCCCTGAGTTGCTGGTGTTGGCATGGCAGTAGTTGCATCCCCAAACAGCAAATTCATGTCTTCCAAGCGGACACCACTCGTTTCCGGATATAAAAAGTAAACTGTAGTAATGTATTAGACTTTTGGTTAATTATGGGAAAATTGACATGGCGCTTACCCAGGACAAAGCTGCAGGCACAGAAAAACGCATGCACCAGGTACAAGCGCCACTTGATAGCAGCTTGTAAAACAGGCGTGACCTCTCCGACAAGCCAATTAAAAGCCCAATTAGTGGCTGTACTAAGACTTGCGCCTTTTGCACGAATGCTCAATGGGAGAATTTCCGGGGGGTAGAGCCATGGTATGGGTCCCCATGATGCACCAAAAGCAGCATTGTAGATCATGACAAAGATGACAGTGAGAGTAGGTGTTGCCACGACGTCGATATATATGAAATAGGAAATCAGGGAGAGTGAAACAATCATTGCCACCGCTCCAGAAAGAAGGATGGGGCGCCTCCCCCAGCGATCCACCAGATACCATGGAGGTACTGTAGAGGCCAGATACGAGATTGCGTTGATCCCAGTCATTAGGATAGCGTCACGGCCAGCCCAACCTGCTGATTCGAATACAAGCGGGGCGTAATACGAGATGACGTTAATACCGTTGAGCTGAGCCAAGGCCTGTGCCGACATCGCTATTAAGACCCTTTTGTAGTAACGCCTGAACATATCAGCGTAAGATCTTTCGCCTTCTTGCCTTTGCAGAAGAACGTTCATCTTAATCTCTCTATACTCTTGTCTGGCTTTGTCACTGTGCAAGTCTCCACTTCCATATAGATTTGCAATGACAACCATACCCTCTTCATCGTGGTCATTGTCCAACAGCCACCTAGTCTTGCATTAGCATGGTGAAAAGCTAAGTTTTCTCCTGCATCACGCATGGACTCACCTTGGCGACTCGCAAATGATGAGGCTACCCACACCAAGAAGAGCACCCATGACGCACTGGAACAACAATGGTAGGCGCCAAGAGTAATTACTTTCTATAAAGCTACAGAAATAATCCACCCAGACGCTGGCTGCGTATCCGGAGATGTTCCCTGTAAACTCAATACATGCCAGTTTTCCTCGGTTGTGGGGAGGCTTAGAGAACATTAGCAAAACAACCGAAGCATTATGCAACAAGGGTGATTGTGAATACCGATATTTCAGACTGGTAGACAGGTACAATTGTCGACAAGGCCCCAACGCCCAAACCTGCGACGATTCGACCGGCCATCATCATAGGCAACCCGGTAGCAAAGGCCTGCAATGCACCGCCAATAAAGAATACTATGGAGCCATACAAGATCGTTTTGCGGCGTCCGATTAAGTCGCCGAGTCGACCGACAAGTAGAGAAGATATGAAAGCCCCTACTTCGAGGATCGCAACCACCGTACCTATTGCAGCTCGCGAGGGTTGATTGAAGTAATCCTTGAAATACCAGCCTCTGATCGTGTGTCAGCAAAGCCCTCCATTCCGTTGAAGAAAGAGAAGACGGACGTTATGATCCCAGACATAACACCTTGGTCATAGCCAAAAAGGAAGACGCCCAAGGATACGAAAACACTCGTAAAGTACCTACATAGCTGGTCAGCAGAGCTAGTAGGTAACATTTGTCGATGACGAAACCTCTTACAGTAATGGCTTCCCAACCAAGCCATGCAAGTGTGCGCTTTGTCGATTATTGGGTGACATTATGACAGCTAAGAGGCGCTCTGCCCGAGGAATCTTCCGGGGTGGAGGGCAGGGTATTTCAATCTTCTCAACGTCGTCTTCGCCGATAACAAGCTGGCTGGGGTAATGGACACGATTCTGTTTCTCGGTCCGTACACTGGATTCCACCCGACCAGAGCTTTCACGATCTTCAGAGCTTCTGAGTGGGATGCGAAGATAATCTTCGGCATTAGCAAGCTGTTCCGTCAGATCTCCACTGTCAGTCCAGGTAAAATGCTCAGACCCAGTGGAGTGAGTCGCTATAGAGGAAGAGCGTCGACTGCTCCTCCCACTAGCAGGTTCTACTACTTTAGCGGGTTGAGGGACAGAGGACCTTGAACTTGAAGGAAGATTTTGCAAGGGTATGCCAGAGGAAGTATGGGTCGGGGTCGTTGTGAGAGGAATGTTGGCGGTTGTAATGGGCTGGGATTCACAGCCCCCCTTTCTTGGTTGAATATTAGCTTTTTTCTTTCTGTCACCACTCTTTCACGCGACCAGAATATAAGATCGCTGCGAGTAAAAATCAAGGAGAGCTGGTAATTTTCGTAACGCTCCGCAACAATCCGAATTGTGAGTTTTCATCAAAGCGGCATGTAAAGACAACTGCTAATCTATTTGGAAGGGATGGATCAGAAGGACAGCGGTGCAGAGTAATCGCTGCAATAGGATGGAAGACCACGCGCCAAAGCGGAGACAAGCGAGTGAGGTGAACCAACTGTTCACAAGGATACCGAAAGGGTGTAGAAAGCGGTGATGACAATCCTTGGGGGGTTTGCTCACGAGACAGGAAATACTTGGCAGATCAACAGCGCAGGATGACGGTGCCCGGAGGTCCAACAGCCTAAAAATGATCAGGTGAAAAACTTAAGAGGGGACAAAGGAAAGCAAGATGAGGTAAGGCTAAATGGCATATGTTTGACAATCAGTCCAGAGGTAACCTTTGGCTTGTGTACATATAATCGTCCCAAGGTTGCTTGCTGGGTTTCCCAGGGGGACTAGCCATGATTTAGGGAGGCAGCTGTCAAGCCATCGATGTGACTACCGTTACGTACCTTGATGGGGTTCTCGGAGACCCCGCAAACACTGACGCTAAGTGGGTACGAGATTCTGCCCAGTAAACTACGTAGTACTTTAGTGTACCAACCATGTTACCGGCAGTGCCCATCAGCGATTCCATCTGTGGCGGTGCGATCAACGAGGGTACCCTTCCAGTACGTGCCTAAGGATATTTACGAAGATCAAGAAGACTTAATATGAGGCGCGGTATTATATGATTATATGATTCTCACGTACAAGGGTCGCTATTCAATTTTGACTATATATAACATCTCATTTGGTGGTATTGTTTCAACAATACTGTCATGTAAGGCATATCTTTGGGTGGATCCCTTAGAGCCAAGATTATGTGAAAAGAGCCCATATAGACCCAGGAATCAGTATCGTATCATCGATCTCTGTATTATACACTCCTATATATAGACCTGCAATTGTAGGCTTTTGGTGTCTCGGCTAATTACTCGTGATACAATGAAATGCTTCAAAAGGAGTGACGCAAAGCTGGCTGATCATTGCGTCTATCGCCTGGAGCACACAAGTAGACAGACTCCTTGTATGTGTTAGCAGAAAATTATGATTATTCTGTAGGACATCGTTGGTTAAAGAACATTGTTGTTTATCGCCTGTTTTGATTCTAGTAGATAGGTAATCATGCACGGGTAGCCCCTTTGCTACTCGTCGTTACTATGTATACGTAGCTTTCATGGACCACGAGCGACAATGAACTTTTATCATCTTGACACATTCTATCCGAAATCAACTTAGCGGTTATACCGAACACACTACACATCGTTTCTCGATGGCCAATGGCTTTTTCTTCCCCCTGGGGGAAGCGCAATGATTAAACCAGCATATTTATCATGTCAAAAGAATGTCATAGCCATCTTTCTGGATATATACAGCGTCTGCCATATTAGCGTACTTACGACGCACCAGCTCGAATATCACCAAGCCTGCACTAGTGCTAGGTACTTGACGGATGGCGTCCCTTGCAAACCCACGGAACAGCCAACGACGCCAGCCACCTGCTCTGGATGCCTTTCTCCTGCATCTCTTCAAGGTTTCTTGGTATGCAGAGTAATACAGGCGTAGCATTTCTCGTCTTGAAGGATGAAGACTCGCTTGATGGTCAATGTATTCCAGGCGAGCAACATGGAGACTTTGGATAGCACTTAGCGGGTGCTGTATACTCTGTTGAGCAACTGAAGCTGCAACACCTGCAGCCATCAAGAAACATGGCTCCAGAGCATAATGTGGCCTTATGAGCGGTACGCCGCGGTCACTCGATTGGATGTGCTGTAACTGTTCCGCGTAATGAGTCCGCCGTGAGCCGTAGTACCAGGTCAGAAATGAATAGTAGGCCTGCGACTTCACGAACTCGAAGAAAGAGAAAAATACTGCATAACCAAAAGCGTCACGAGTGAAAGATAAACCCCACCCTGCGAATATACCACGGACTCCAATTTGATTGAGTTTATGGCGGCCATAATGCCACATGCTCTTGTATGGGCCCTCAAGCAAGTCACTCGCTCGGAGACGGACCTGAAGCGCATCCAGAGGAGCGGCTACTACTGACTGAATTGTACCCGCTATAAACCCAGCTGCAAATGTGTTTGAAGGGGGAGCAGGTGGATATACGCGTTTGATGCCTTGGGACGCCGGTTCGTACAAAGCGCCAAGGACTTGTAGATATGACGTGTAAAGGACGGCTCCAATTCTATCTGTAACAGTTAGACAACCCAGGCAACCAAATTTGAGACTAGGTAAACCAACCCAGCATTCGCTAGGAGAGGTGGCATAACTTGATTAGGGATGAAGCGCCACCCATATGTGCGAACGGCATGGACAAGTAACCCCGGAGTAGTTGTGTGCAGAGACCAACCGGTTTTTGCAGAATGAGGATTTACAGCTCTAGCGAAGGCCTAGCGAAATAACAGGAAGAGCCATATATATCAGTTGACATGGACTCCAGAGATCAGTGCAACCAGGCCGGCGAAGGAACAATGCAACCGCATACCATATAACTGAACAAGAGCATGGGCTGTCAGTGACTGAAGGGACAATACTTGTGAGACAGTCTAGTATCATACTCAACTCGGGTGCGAAAAAATGCCTTGATAGGTGCTCTGAAGTAGAATGCAACCAATTGTGCACTAAGAGCACGCACCCCCGCAGCAGAGGCACCAGTAGCTGCATTCTGTCGCGATTTTCTGCGTGACGGATTCCCCGAGTCCAAGCTCGAGGTATGATCAAATGCGGGTAATGTCTGAGTAGTGGCCATGCTGAGGCGTGTGAGAAAGCATTAGAAGTGACAGTTTATCAGTGATATACAAATATAAGCATAGCGCTTATTCCAATGACATTGCCAGCCCGCGCTGCAAGATTCCATGAAAGATGTCCCAACTAGAGGCACATCATACACTGAATGAGGGCTAACTCGTAAGGTGAGGATAGCTATGATGAAAATTGTTGATGACTAAATAGAATGCCAGCTTCATATGAGGAGCTAGAAGTGAATAGCCCACGAGATACTGAAGAAGTCAATGTCCGAGATGAAATATTTAGCCTTGAGGCGGAGAGGTACTAAGCATGGAAGGGTACTTTTGAGCAAACAACTCAAACACCGCTGATTTGTCAGGAACACTTGAGCGAACGCGCCTTCGGAGGTTTCGCGTTTGCGCTACCCTATCTTAGTTTCTTCTACAGAAGTAAGAGCTAGTCGATGAGTCTCAATCTACTCTCTTCCATTGCTCAAGTGAAGATATCCTCCAGTATATCTCTTTTTTTACCTTCCGCAAATCTGGTACATTGAATTTCTCATTACGAAACTTCGCTCACTGACCTCCACTAAATCCCACCCTACCTTCTAAGGTTCCTACGGGGACTTTCTGCACAAGCTGAAGTTTACGCCAAGCTGGCAGGCTGCACCGATTGATACACTCACATCATGGCCGAAGAGATTGTGATAGACAAATCTACTTTCTTCAATAGATTATCAAGCTTCTATAATGCATGGAAAGCCGACAAACGATCTAGTCATGCCAGTTTCGGTGGTGTGTCGTCGATTGTAATCCTAATGGGCAAAACCGACGAAGCGAACAGCTTTCAGAAGAACAACGCAATGCACGTATGTCTTTCATCACCTCTTAATCCTATTCTTGTCGGCTCACCTGCCATCATAAATAGTTCTGGCTCCTTGGCTATGAATTTCCGGCTACGCTTCTTGTTTTTACGACGGAGATGGTGTATGTGGTGACTACCGCGAAGAAAGGTGAGTTATATCATAAGATGTGAATTTAGCATGGCCTCGATTACTGACATGCACATCTTGTTTGCAGCCAAGCACCTTGAACCCTTGAAAGGTGGCAAGATTCCGGTTGAGATATTAGTGACATCCAAGACTCCAGATGAGAAGATGAAATCTTTCGAAAAGTGCATTGACGTTATCAAAAATGCTGGTGTGAGTCCTACTGTCCTCAGCGTTAGCGATCTTGGATGGAACTGACTGTCCTGAAATGATAAGAAAAAAGTTGGCGTATTGCCGAAAGACACAACCGCAGGTCCTTTCGCAGAAGATTGGAAGAAGGCTTATGCAACTTTGTCAAATGAAGTTGAGGAAGTTGACATTTCGCCCGCTCTTTCAGCTACTCTCTCTGTCAAGGATACTGATGAATTAGTAAGTTTTACATGTCTTCGGAGGTGTGACTGGCTGACACGACAAGGTATCTATACGTAATGCATCGCGGGCATGCAGTGGTCTGATGTCTGAGTACTTTGTGGATGAAATGTCCCGCCTACTTGATGAAGAGAAGCAGATGAGCCACAAAGCTCTTTCAATGCGGATTGACGCGAAAATAGACGACGCAAAATTCTTCAACAAGTTAGCGAAATTGCCAGCAGAATTTGACCCCCAACAAATCGATTGGGCATATGGACCAGTGATCCAAAGTGGAGGGAAATATGATCTCAAGCTGACTGCGATATCCGACAACAACAATTTGCAGCCGGGGATAATAATTGCTGGCTTCGGCATTCGTTATAAGACCTACAGTTCGATGATTGCGCGCACCTACCTAGTGGACCCGACGAAAACTCAGGAGGCAAATTACGCCTTTCTGCTAAACGTCCGCGAAGCGATTTTGAAAGACGTCCGTGACGGGGCCGTGGCTAAGGACCTATACAACAAGGCAATGAATATGGTTCGGACAAAGAAGCCTGAACTTGAATCTCATTTCCTGAAAACTGTCGGCGCTGGCATAGGAATAGAGCTTCGAGACGCTAATATGGTTCTTAACGGAAAGAACGATAAAGTTTTGAAGAGCGGAATGACATTTGCTGTCACAGTTGGTCTGACTGACGTTGAAGACGCGAGCATCAAAGACAAGAATAGAACCGTTTATTCGATGATCATTACAGACACTGTTCGCGTCGGAGAAACCGGGCCTCTGGTTTTTACGAAAGATGCTGGTGTTGACATGGACTCTGTATCGTTCTACTTTGGGGATGAAGAAGAGCCACAGAGACCAGTAAAGGAGAAGAAGGAGGCGAAATCAAGCTCTGTTGCCAATAGGAATGTTACGAGAACGAAGCTTCGTGCTGAAAGACCCACTCAGATTAATGAAGGTGCCGAAGCACGGCGACGTGAGCACCAAAAGGAGTTGGCTGGCAAAAAGACCAAGGAAGGTCTGGACAGATTTGCCGGTACGACTGGCGATGATAACGGAGTCACACAGAAAAAGTTCAAGAGATTCGAGTCTTACAAGAGGGACAATCAGCTCCCAACGAGGGTGAAAGACCTAACCGTTTATGTAGATCAGAAGGCTTCCACGGTTATTGTGCCAATTATGGGTCGGCCAGTACCCTTCCATATTAACACGATCAAAAATGCTAGCAAAAGTGACGAGGGAGAGTATGCGTATCTCCGAATCAATTTCCTTTCACCGGGTCAAGGCGTGGGCCGAAAGGATGATCAGCCTTTCGAAGACCTCTCCGCACATTTTCTGCGCAATTTGACACTCCGGTCCAAGGACAACGACCGACTGGCCCAGATCGCTCAAGACATCACAGAACTTCGAAAGAATGCTCTGCGGCGGGAACAAGAGAAGAAGGAAATGGAAGATGTGGTAGAACAAGACAAGTTGGTTGAAATCAGGAGTAAGTATTGCTACTCAACCATCTGAATGCACGGGGACTGACTAGTTTAGATCGTCGTCCTGTAAAACTGCCTGATGTATACCTTCGGCCTCCTCTGGATGGTAAACGTGTTCCAGGGGAAGTTGAGATCCATCAGAACGGTCTTCGTTACATGTCACCTTTTCGAAATGAACATGTAGATGTCCTGTTCAGCAACGTGAAGCACTTGTTTTTCCAACCTTGCGCTCACGAATTGATTGTTCTGATACATGTTCATCTGAAAACACCTATTATGATAGGGAAAAGGAAGACTAGAGATGTGCAGTTCTACCGGGAGGCAACCGAAATGCAGTTTGATGAAACCGGCAATCGTAGGCGCAAGCATCGTTATGGGGATGAAGAGGAGTTCGAAGCCGAACAGGAAGAGAGACGGCGGAGAGCCGCTCTGGATCGGGAGTTCAAGGCTTTCGCCGAAAAGATTGCAGATGCCGGAAAAGACGAAAGCGTGGATGTTGACATCCCTTTCAGAGAAATTGGTTTCACTGGCGTACCAAACCGCTCTAATGTTTTGATCCAACCCACAACAGATGCTCTTGTTCAATTGACAGAGCCGCCCTTCCTGGTGATCACTCTGAATGAGGTAGAGATTGCTCATTTAGAGAGGGTACAGGTAAGTGCGAATTTTACCACTGGTATTTTACTGCTGCTAATGTCACCAGTTTGGACTCAAAAACTTTGACCTGGTTTTTGTTTTCAAGGATTTCCACAGGGCCCCTGTTCATATCAATACAATCCCTGTCGAATCGCTAGAGGGTGTTAAAGACTGGCTAGATTCTGTTGATATCGCATTCACAGAGGGTCCACTGAACTTAAACTGGACAACAATCATGAAGACAGTCGTAAGTGACCCATACGGTTTCTTCGCTGATGGGGGCTGGTCATTCTTGGCCGCAGAGTCGGATTCAGAGGGCGGATCAGACGAAGACGAGGAGTCCGCGTTTGAACTTTCTGAATCAGAGCTGGCGGCGGCCGACGAGAGTTCAGAAGACGACAGTGAATTCGACGATGATGCCAGTGCCGAGGCTAGCGATGACTTCAGTGCCGACGAAGAGAGTGGCGAAGACTGGGACGAACTCGAAACGAAGGCAAAGAAAAAGGACAGGGAAAGTGGTCTGGATGATGAAGATCGTGGGAAAAAGCGCAAGCGATGATCTGATCCCGCATACTACATGACAGCTAGCTGTGACATTCGAACAAGTGGCCTTTAATTTGCATCAATCGCTATTTAATACTTGAATTGTACGAGATGTTTATAAATTGTAATCGTCAGTTCCCAAGGAACTCGAGGGGCCAGGAATGAGACATTAATATTCGTGCTGCCATTCTTTTCTATCTATGGCTGGTATATGTGCAAATTATATATACCCCTGCATGCGTCCGTCACTTCCCTTTCCGCATAGCGGACCACATGCTCCTCATCCTCTCAGCTTGATCTCGAGTAAAACTCTCATAACAGTCATCGGATGAATAGTCCATAAAATTATGGATTGCATCAAGGCCAGGAAGATCTGGGCATGAATCCTTCTCGGCGGGGCATCCGCTCGTAGGCTCAGATTGCTCAGGGGTGTCATCAATGTAATCTCCTTCATTATCAGGGGAGCACGATTCACCTTCGAACGTGTGCAGCAGCCCATTCCAATGGCCAACCTCATGAACCGCTGTGCCGCCCTGGTTGTACTGCGCTAAACTACCACCCGGCATGGTATCGGCTAACACGTTACAACCATCCTTGATGTAACTAGAACGAGGGCTGCTGGAATTCACGCTCGGGTCAGGCAACGTACAGAAGCCAAGGACAGTTGTTGATGATTGATCCGATACATCTGTTCGTCGATTGCCGTTATAGGAGAAGCCCCGAGAAGTGTCGTCTGAAGACGCCTGAAGATCTGTTTGGAAATAGACATTTAAAGTGCTATAATTGCCCCTTCGTAGGGCATTCTTCATCCCCAATTCGTCATCATTCCGCGCCCAAGAGTCATTTATATGACGAGTAATGCCCTCCAACCGATAGCTGATAGTCGCACTTTCATATGCCTTCTGAAGATAGGAAAGCTAGGAGTTGTTAGTCCAAAACAGGATATTGCGCAGGCATAAGTCAACAAATCAACGGTGACGGACCTGACTGGTGATCATGTCGTCTGATACTGTGTCGGATGCTTCATTGCTGCTTACGATATGAAACCATGTCTCGATTTCAATCATAGACACCACCTCCCGGCTTTCCTCAGCGGTGCTACCACGTTGGTCCTGTAGATCATACAATCTCCTGTGCTCTGCTCGGAGTGACTCATCGGGCGCCGGTGTGGAGCAAAAGTCACGTCCAGAGAGCAGTGCGCTGCATCTGGTTGAAAGATTGGCAACAACAATGACGGTAAAGAGCGCGTGTAAGTTGAGTAACAATGTCATACTGTGTATAGGGCAGTGAAGATTTTCTATTGCACCGAAGACAAGAGACGAGGTGAGAGATATAAGATCATAAGCCTCATTGCCAACCGCTACGTGGAATCTGTAAAGATCCCAAACAATCCCCCGTGTCAGGAATGCTGCATGCCAGGGAAATGTCCCACAGAAGGGATACACGCGTTTCGCCGAGAAGATTGACACTCTCCCAGATCGCGCCAACAAGAAGGGCACAGCGACTAGCAGGTGCGGTTTATTTTTCCTAGATAGACAGATGTGTCGAAACTATCATAAAACATGGGCCCACGGGAAATACCTGTGGGTATCAGATCCTGTTTAGGAACGCCACCTACAAACGCCTAGTAAAAAGTCACACTGTAAGTTAGGTCCGTAGACCAAGAAGAGCATGAGCAGAACCAACATCGATGAACAATAAGTGAAGGGGAAAGTGAAAGTATGCTTCTTAAGTAGCATGGGAACCAAATCTGCCATCCCGCCCGGTCGCCACAGCCGAGCTCTCCTGCTCATTGTTCCAGGTCAAGTAAGTGTGGTCGCCAAGTTTCCTAATAAATCAGCCTAGGCACGGACGAAACATGTTAAATTCACCAAATCTCCTTACCTCGGCCGAACAAGATGTGCAATGGTAAATAATGCCCCGAGAACAATGCATAGTCCACCTACAACGACGTAGGCAATACCCATGAATGGGTTTTGCCCGCCCATCACAGTCCGTGTTGATATGAGTATCGATTTAGTACCTCCGTACTCGGTGACAGGGAAGCCTGTGCGCGTTTTAGCGTTGACCTTGAAGTTAAGTTGGATCTGGAAGCTTACGGTCTTCAATGTCCAATTGATAGATTCCTGCAGTCATTGCCGTTGTGTCGTTTCTGCGGGATAGCTTACTGAAAGCCGGCAGCGCAGCAGTTCTCATCCATACCATAAACTCTTCGTCTTCGTGAAGATTAGGTATACCGTCGACATAACCGTTAGGGTATCGATCGTGCCAATTAGGCGGAGGAACCACCTGCCATTTGTTATACTGAGTCTTCTTGATGAGCTGCTTGTCACTGTCCCAAGCAATGCCTTTATTAGTCATGTTGTAGGTCTCAGCAGTCACACCATTGTTAATAAGCTTTGGGCTGCGGATGGTATCGTTAAATTGAGAATTGGCTATAAGGCCGCATGGATAATACGCTTTGCCAGTTGAGGGGTCAAGTTTGAGGGGGTCACAAGAGCCACCATTTATGGTGTTGTTGTCAACTGCTTTTCCTTTCAACTGATCAGTGTCCATGGACTTAACGTATCTCCGATGGTTCTGATAAAAGTTCGTTAAGCGATAATATAGAAGCACAGGCGGCTCCAAGGTATCCGGAATCTCAAACATCAATCGACAAACTGTAGTTCCGCTCTCATTGAATCTTTGCCACGTTGGAATGGAATTATCGCCTGATGATTTGAACGAAGATTTGACTTGGTCTGAAATAGAGGCTGCATAGGAGGTGGGCGCCTTCTCAGCACATTCAGAATAGTCTATGACAATCTCTTGTACCTGGTGATCGCTCGTCGGTTATTGAGAAGAAACTCTATGGGAGGTATTACATACCTGTGAACTGGCCCATAGCAGGAGACCACCAATGGGAGCGAATATCACACCGATAACAAAAAAAAGAGGCAGTACGCTCTTTGGGGTCAATATTGGTCTATATGCGTCAGCACGAGGGCAAAGTATACCGTCAAAGTAACTTACTGCCAGGCTTTCAAGCGCTGCTGTCTGAACGCAGTATCTGTGGTAATAAACTAGAGTTAGTAAAGAATGGCCCAGCTCATTCACAACGAGTCAAAAGTCTCACTTGCTGGTCTCCTGTTCTTAGACTTCTTATCGTCAGCTCCCCCCCTATGTTCTTGCTCGTCCAAAGACTCCGCACGGGTCGCTTCGGGATGGGACATTGTTGTTCAAATCCTCCATTAAATGTCCTGGGCAATTACTACAGCAGTTGTAGAAGCAGTAGAAGAAGTGATATTTTGAAAGAGTAAATATAAAGATGGATAGAGAGTGAGGGTGAATGATGGTGGCGCAGGCTTAGCAGGCGACGGGATTGCGTAATAGGCGGGCTTTGACATCCCGACATCCGCTTGGGGGATACTGTTACATTGTCATGAACATTATTTTTTTTCTCGGACGCTCCGAAAATTCTGATGCGCTCCAAAGCAGTGCATGAATTGTCACTGTTACAATACTGACTATGCTACCCCACTGTAAACTTATTGTTGGAAACATGTCAATTGAGCAACGAGAAACAATCTACCACTCTAATGAATACTAGACGCCATGGCAAGCCGTCGGCATAATGATCGGGAGAACGACATGAGAGACAAAACCTAACCTATCGCAGCCAATTGTTCCAGCCCTTGAGAAACAATAACGCCAGACAATAAAAATAAGGGTAATTGAAAGCTGTCTGAAGACGCCAAGTGTTGAATCGAATCAATAACATCCGTATTTGATGGCCTAACGCAGCGAAAGGGAAATGGGGAAAAGAAAGAGCAATATAACACCGTATGCAGCCTTGCCACTTGTTGCAGAGAATCCAGCTATGCTCAGTGACAAATGTAAGTACCGTACCAATATCCGATGGCTAATTGACGGGCGCGAAAGTTGTGAGTTGAGAAATGCAATTGGACTAATGATGGTACAGGCATGCGACCACGTCTCTGACGCATCATTACCAGTATATCAATGGGGAAGGCAGGTCATCGGGATCCACAGGGTTCAACAGTTCCAAGCATATTATCTTCGATACTGTCGAAAATGTTCGGGATCGAACCAACCAACCCGCTCATACGCCGTCCAGAGCTTGCTTGCTTTATTGACATCAATCTTGCAAGCCTGCTGAGCATCGGTCTTCCGAAATTCCTTACCAACATTCAAGGCCTTCACGCGGGCTTCGAAAATGCGACGCTTGCTGCATAGGTAGGTCGCACATGAAAGCCTTAAAGTAGCAGCAAGGTTGAGCTCTGCAGAGCTCAGCAAATGCCGATCCGGATCATGGCTAAGATCTAACACTTGGCCTTTCCAATCTGCCTTTAGTGCCTTTGCGTTGCCTCCTAGGGACTCTATTGAGGGGCAATAATCCTTGATGGAATTGTAATCTGTATCATCCCGGTTTGTGCCTATGGCGCGAGGCGGCTTGGCACTCGACGGGGGTGAGTCAAATGTATCGAGGATCCTTTGCTTCGGTGTGGACTTTGGCGTCCGCTTTACCCTTGGTGTCCGTTGCAGACGAGGCTGGGCAGCAACTGCCCTCTTTGCAGGAGCCGGAGCGATCTTCTTCAGCTTCGCATCCATAGCACGTGGACGACACCGATTCATCATCAAAAGCTGGCGTTCTAAGGTCTCCCGCTCTTCCCTAGCCCATGCTGCTGGGTTCCGGTTAAATTGGGCAGATACAATCGGCACGCATGAAAGAGCTAGAAGATATTCGTCACGCGTCGGCTTGTTAAGTTTATTTTCAAATCTCGCCATGTGAGAATTTATATGCTGGTCAACCAACGCTTCCGCAGATGGGGGGAGCATGGACCCAAACAACGGCTCATCAGTGGCAATATCAGTAAGGCCTTCGTGGCGGGGAAAGAGAACAGGGTCCCTGGAGGAACCGACGACGGCATCCTTATCAATCGGTTCTGGTCCATTCGATCGCCGTTTCTTATTCCCAGTATAGGGAGTGACTGGCGGCGATGGCAAGTTCATTTCCGACTGTGTTCGCTTGTGATCACTCGGCATGGGAGGAAGCCTCACTTCATGGTTATACGGCGGATCTTGGGCCATTGTATACGGTGAGATTGTGGTGGGACTGAAGCTCTCGAGGGGCTTAGTCTCTGGGGGGGACATTAAACTCGAAACAGACGGCAGACGACTCATATTGACCTTATCACCACGACTGGTCAAAGAAGCAGCAGTGAATGAGGTCATCGCCTGAAACAATCTGATGGTTTGATTGCTTCACAATGGAAAAGTGAGCAGAATGTGTGGTGGGACGACTAGCTGAGAATAAATACAACACGAAATCTGCTTCTGAGGTCAGTTTCAGGTAGTCATCTGTTTGAAGGCGAAAGAACGTTTGTACGCTGATGAGATGGTGGTATGGAAGTCAATGGAACAGATGTTTGGCAATAATGTTGGCAGACACACGTGCAAATGATTTGTCAGGGCCGCCTCTTTGTCTGGTGGCAATAAATGGATATTGGTTGGGTCTCGGCGATAAGGCTCACAATGGCCGAGTAGGCTAGAGTTACTGAATATGAGTAATCAATCTATTTCTCCTGGTGTTCCGGATTGCGTGTCCAAGTTTACTCGAAAATTTGGGGTTCCTTGAGGAGCAGAATCAATTAAGACTTGTAGAACAGCGAGCTGGTTCCTATTGACGGGTAAGAACCGGCACTCAGGCGTATGAGTCAATGTGCCGGATGGGAACTACTAGTAGCAGTAATGAAATACATCAACATTGTTCATGCGGGGTTGGCGCGTGGCAGTAAAGGGGAACCGTGCCAGCGTCTAATCCCAAACGCCTAACACCGGATAGCTGGGAGCAAGATCAGAGGTTGAGGCTGGTGATCTAGCGCTTGAGCAATTACAAGTCAAATATGAATCAGAAGGAACGGCCTGGCGCTTTGACAGCGAATGATACGATGTTATGGGAAAGCCATATGATGAGAGGGTTTGGTAAATGATCTACCACATGACGACAACAGCCATGGGAAAGCGGGGTCGAGTACTGATTACTGTGTAATAAATAGAAAAGGGGGGGTGGAGCGCAAAGGCTGTTGGCTGTCTGTTTGGGATCCATTGAGGGGCACCAATTCCGTTTAGCGGTGTACCCACCAATGGCTACTTCTTGTGACTTGGTAGGCTTTCTCCGGCATGTTAGGCTGAAAACTATGACTATCTTCGTACTGTGTATGGACTTAACAAAAGTCAGATCATCTGTTGCTGCATCGCAGCCTAATAATATGCAGTAGCTGACACTGAGCCCCACAGATTCCATTGTTGCCTGACAAGTCAGACTGGGCATCCTTCATGACCTCCTTAGACAACGTATTGTACACAGAGTTGGGAGGGGGGGTTATTTAGCCGTCGATGAGAGTTGTGATGCAGTGGCTCCGTTGACCCTTGCATAAATAGCTAGTGGGGTGTATGTACTTACAGTTCTCTGATTAACAGCCGGACAATCAGTCGTCATCTGTCTTTCATAGGTATAGTACAGGCAATGAATATGTATAATATAATAATCTATATACGGTTTACCAACAGACAATTGTAACTGCTTGCTTCGCTCGTACTGATTCTGATAATTTGGCAACCTAAACAAGTTGCCCACTCAGCTGAGTAAGGTCCTAGTCATCATTTCCCCTACATATAACCATCTATCTTACTTAATATTGGCAAAAGGATGTCCGGAGGTGTGCTCCAACAGTCATTAATAAGCGCTAATGGTTTAGTGGTAGGCTTACAATAAAAGGTATTGTGGAGCTATTTGAACTGACCTTTTTTATGCAAATATTCGTTAATGCAATTCTTATAATAAATTCTTGTGTATCTGTCTGCTCGTCTATTTGTTAGAAGCAGAGCAGCCGGCTGGCTGCAACCCGGCAGGTTAGATGATTCGCGCAGTGCTATTAGTCATATGATCCAGGTAAGATTATATGACTAAACTTTATACAATACGAGTCTTTCAAATATATAGGTGGAAAGTGATCAGTTCTGAGTAAATCAGTAATTATTATTGCTATGGTGGCATCATCATAATAATAATTATTAAATCTTATATTAGTAGTTATGCTGTAGACTTGAGATGTAATTTATATAATAAATATTAGGAATCTTATCTGAAACCATATGATCTTGTCCTATTAAATAGTTACATTTTGTGATAGAATGTGATAGAATAACCCAGCTGTCAGGGCCTTGGGCATCAGGATAACGTATTATAGTAGTCCTGGGAATTGTAAGATTATTAATAGTAGTTCTATATTTTATTAATATTTAAAAAATACTGATTTTTCTGTAAGAAATTACTGATTTTTTAAGAATTAGTCTATCTTGTGGATATAGACTATTTTTATTATTATTAAATAAATTTATTATATTAAATAGTTAATTTCTTATCTAGTTAACAGGCCTTTTATTCTAATAAGTAGATTTTATTATATTCTAATTTTTTTATTTTAATTATCTAAGAAAGATGCCACCCCTTGAAAATAATAAAGAAAAAGAAATATTTAATAATTATATTAATTCTGAATTATTATTGAATACTGTTTCTACTACTAAGAAAATCTAATAATTAAAAGATTATATTTATTAATTAAAATAAACTACCAGTCTGTAAAGAAGAATAGTTTATTTTTAAAAAAATAATTTTTTAGATAAGATCTTTTCTAAATATTATTAATTCTTGTTTAAATTAGAAAGAGATAAAAAAAATTAAATTTAAAGATATTCTCTACTTTATCTTAAATTTTAATCTTTAAAAGTATTAAGAATAAATTATTAATTTAGAATATATATTTTAAAAGATTTCTAAGAAGTATTTATCAGAAAAATATAAGATTTTTATTATTATTAATTATATAGACTCTGCATGTAGATAAAGATAATATTATTTTATTAATAATAAAAATCTAAAAGTAAGATAATTTCTTAAGAAATTAGAATATTATTATTTTTTAATTAAATATTATAATTTAATTTAAATATACTTACCAGTAATATGGTCAAGATCTAAGAAAGTTTTATATTTATCTTAATATTTTAAAGTAATATTTTTTTATAAGATAGAGAAAGAAAAAACTTTATTATATTTTATTAAATTATTATTTAATTTTAATTATTATATTTAAGAGCATGTCCTCCATTTACCAGAAAAATAAAATAAAATAATAGTTATTATTATTTATTACTACAAATTATAGAGTAATAGATAAAACTATAAATAAAATAATAATTAATCTAGCAGTTATAAATTATATAAATATCTTTAAGATTATTTTAATAAATTAATTAAAGAAGATGCAT